GGAGCAAGGAAGCTACGATCGGGGCTCCTGGCCGTACTACTAGGAGCAAGGAAGCTACTAGGGGCTCCTGGCATCGCTACTAGGAACAAGAAGCTACTAGGGGCTGTTTCAGGATGTTCAACAGTCTTGTTCCAGATCTTGTTGAAAGCCCGTAGGCTCGTCACCCTTCCAGAAAAATGCTTCAAAGCTTCAAAGCACATTGAAATAAGAGTTCACAACAAAGTGACAGAAGGATCTCGCAAATTCCTGGACCCCATCTTTTGCAGAGCTCTAGATGTTTGCTCATCTCGCAGTTCACCTGCAACATCAATGACCCGTATTTTCTCCTGGTCTCCATGCTGAATATGATGATGTCAGGGAATGCCCCGAGCAAAACACATGCAGTTTGGGGCTGGCTGGCTTGTTGATTGTGAAATTGAGATCGACATGGACAAACGAACGGACAGCACGGCAAAAGTGTTGGGAGCCAAAGAATTGCACATGGAAGAAGAAACCGTTGGAACACAACAAACAGTGAGATTAAACTAACCAGATGCTGGGAGGTGATGCAGGGAGACCAAGGGCGCATGGATCAAGGAAAGGCAAACAAGCGAAGAGCAGAGACAAAGAATTACCTACTTGCAGAGATCGAAGGGCATGCCTTGTTTATGGTTTATGGCCAGGCACCTCGAGCTGCAATTCCTTGCAGCTGCTCCTCTTCTTATTTAGTCCACCCAACTCACATGTGAAGCACCGGGCGTCTTCCAAACGGTGAAAGGAAGTCGCCTAGGTCAAAGGCGTGTTGTGATCCATCAACTCGTCTCGGATGGGGTCGATTAAGGCTCAATCGGATTGGCCGTCTTGCCCGTGGGTCCGAATTGGCCTCGATCGACCTCCAACAGCCTCCACCCAGCGGGGCAGTCTGAAGGCTTAGCCTAGATCGCCAGTGTGCATCTGAATGCAAGAAATACCTGTGACCACCGGGTCCGCAAATGCGGTATGGCCATGAAAACTATGTGGCTTGCGGCTTGCAAACAGCTGACCCATGTTCTCCAAATTGATCGCAGCTATCTCATCTGATCTCAGCAACCAGCCTCTTCAGAACTTGGCCCGGCGGCCGACCGCCCCAAAACGCGAACGGCCCAGACAGAAACCATCAGAAGTCTTTTTTCGTTCTTTCACAAGTGCATCGCTACGTTCGTAACAAGTGCATTACTACTAGTAGCGTCCTTTGCTCCGTTCGTAGCTTCTTGCTACTAGTAATGCACTTGTTACTAGTAGCGATGCACTTGTCTCCTTGTCTCAGGGGCCATGAACTGAGACCCCCTATTTGCAAGCCCTGGCAAGCCCTGGGTAGGCTTCCGGGGGGGTTGGCCTGGTCCAGGTCTCCCATGGTCTCGAATACGCACTCATGTCTCATCTCCCAAAAAGGACCAAACCCCAAAGATCCATGCAGTCCGGCTGTCCAGCTCTCGCTTTCTGGAGTCTCAGACCTTCGAAGTGCGCATGGTGTGTCCGTCTCTGACGCCGCAGCTGGACGCATGGGGAGGCCGGTGTCGCTTAAAATCCACACGAGGGGCTCTTTCTCGGAAGGCATCAGCGGACTTTTGAGAGGACACAGACAACACAGAGGGAGATCCGTATGAGCGTATGAGCCGCAGCGAAAACGGAGCCCTCAGTCCTTCAGTCCCATGAGCCTCCCTCTGCTGTGCCCTCGCAAAGCCCAGAGTTCGCACAGGTGAAAACCGTGGATACTCTTCTAGGCTGAGAAGTTGCCGATAGGTCAGAGCCCAGAATGAGAGCAAAAAGACACGAAGGCAGCAACAACGGCTCCAACATATTCGTACCACTTGAGGACAAATCATTAGTGCCTACAGCAAATAATCAGGATGCATGCTGGAGCTTCTGCGCTATAGGCTGTAGTCTATAGTGAACAAACTCTCCACCCAAAGCAACTGTTCTTCGCCCCCTCCATTCCTTGCAACAAAAGGGGTGAACCTCATCATAGCAAGCCTGGCAAGGAGTAGTACTCAACCACCACCAAAGTTTGGGCTCTTGAACCCCCGCAATACGTGATCACAGGAGGAGTCTTTCTTAAGAATCCGAAGAAACTCTGTCTGCAGTACTCTCTGCATGCATCCCTGTGGTGCGCCAAAAGCGCCGAATCTTTGAGACATGTACACACAGCCGCAAGATGGAGAAGTTCAAGTCTGTGTTGGACAAGATCTGTGAGGCTTTGCGCCTCTACTCCCCTGCATAGGTAGACGTGGAACCTCAAAACCACTGGGTTGTAGAGGAAAAGGGTCGAAGCCAAGGGTCAATTCTCAGGTTCCATTTGAGTCTGCGGGGGTAGACCTTCGGTTCATCATAGGTCAACATTCATCCAACAGTGCCACGTGACGTGACTTTTAAAATGGCTTAGAGCGGCCGAAAATGAACTTGACATCGATGGCATTCTGAGTGTGTGTATCAGGTGCAGGTTCTGCGCCGAGACTTCTCAACCTCGTGAGCGAAGCTAATGAATATCTATCCACATTATTTATATATATATATATATACGTATCACGAGTGTTGTTTACATGTTTTTGCCTACCAGTCATGACTCATCAACCACAACTCACTACCAACTGCTATAGACACCCATTTTGGGGTTTCATTCTCTTCATCGGACCACGACTGGTCATGGTGGCCAAGGGATGGGTACAGCACTGTGCTGCACAGACCAAAAAAGTATTTTCCTATGTGGGTAAAAACCTGGAGCCCGACCCTGTTCATCATGTCCGAAGTCTATTCAATACATGTTCGGTGGGAAAAAGGAAAACAACAGGCAAAACCCTGGGTGCCATGACCAGGTGTGCAAGATCTCCCAGTGACCAAACAGTAGAGGCTTCATAGTCCCAAAACGTGGAGGAGTGAAATGGGCTGCTCAGTTCAAGGCCGCCTACATGGTCTATATGCACCCAGAGAGTCGGGTGAAAGGGGATGAAAATTCTGTAAGAACCTGTAGAACCTGTGAATGGTTTATGCAATGTGTTTCTTCTCAGTAAAAGTGGGCCTGGGCCAAGTTAACTGTCTCATGTTCTCATGTTTTCAGCTCCAGATCGCTTGATCTCTTGCTCCTCCACCAATTAGGCCGTGCTACTGGCTGAGCTTGAAATACGTTGTTTTAAAGTTTCGGGCAAACAACACACGTTTGAAGGGTGCATCTTAAAGATTCACATCGTTTCTGCTTTCAGATACTGTCCGTAGATCTCATATCATATGGTGTTCATTGGTGTTCATTTACATCATCTGTCATGCCAACTGGCTGGGATGGGTCGCAACTGACACTGAGTTTTGGTGCTTGCTATGTCAGTGGCTACAGGAAGCCGTCACTACCAAATCCAGGGATCTTCCAAGTCCAAGTCCTGAACCCAAAGTCCATTGGGTTCATTGCATTGGCAACCACTCTTGTCACCAGACACCATGCATAGCAGACACGCATACCAGGTCCCTGGTCCGACTCACAAGGAGTCTGAAACAACCGATGTCTCGTTCAGCGATGTCTCGCTACCTGACCTCAAAAGCAACAAAGCTAAGGAATACCAAAGCCTGACCTCAAACAGCCCCACTTACTCAAAGTCAGACCCATTCAAAGCTGCTTGATTCGCTCGAATATCAAAGCTGTTGGGCGAGTTCAACAACACTGGGGTCCGCAACAGAACTGAAGAACTGAAGATCCGCGAGGTGTCGGTGTATTTGCACGATTGCTGTTGCTGCCAAATGCAGGTGATCCAAAGCTCAGTACCCACCAAGTCGTGGATTTCACGATATTGGGATTCAGGTGCACTCTTATTTGGGTGGAGGAACTCGTTTCGCTCATGCATCATGTAAAACGACTGGGGAAACAGGTCGAAGTCCGCCGACTCAATGATGTTTCTTGCCATCGTCACTACTCCATGCTGCGGCATATGACGCAGTCTTGGCCACTTCCTTCTCATGGTTTGTCAGTGCTTCCGTAGTTCTCAGTGATCCAGTGATCGTGTGTGCGACCCACCCCCTCCCACGGCAGGACAGCCAGCTTGTGGGGGTCCCTCTCCTAGGCGTTCGCCGGGCGCGACGTTTGTGGCGTCGGCGGGTGGGAGGCTCCCATGGCGCATTTCGGAGGATGTCTATCAAATGGTTTCGATGTGACTTCGGTCTCATGTAGACTCTTTTTCGAAATCACCCGCCCCAGCAATGCATTGAAAAGGCCTCTTCACATGGGGGGATTTATGAATCAAAAGTCTACATGAGACTGAGAAATCAATCTGAGTCAACCATTCACCATGCTTTTCAGAACCAACCTGCTCAAAAACCCCAGGTTCGTCAAGGACGAGGCCTCGTGTCCTCATTCCAAGAGGCCTCGTGTGATGCGACCGTGGTTGACCTACCTTGTGGACCGGAAAAGACCTTCCTCGCGGCAAATGCAAAAACCAGGACTTCAAGGTAAGGCGAAGGCTCCACGGTGGGAGGAGGTCGTTTGGTGCGTCGGGTCGTTCGTCGACCCGTTCGAGGAGCAGTTGACAACCACCGACAGGTGTCGCAACTGGCTGCAGCAGTGCTCAACAACCGACAGGTGTCGCTCCACAGACAGCTGGACCAACAGCAGCTGCATCGGTGTTTCCACAGGACCGACTCACCGTTGACTCGGAACCCTTGTCACCGAGCAAGCACCCGACCACCGTCTTCAGCCCGACGGTCGAATGAATCAACGGGCATGGCTTTTTTTGCCTCACCGACTCTTTTTGGGATCCAATGCAGTCCAAGAGTCTCACTTCAGGCAGAGCATAGGCAGGGCACTTTGCATCTGCCCAGGCCCTCAGATCTGGCAACACCTCCAACCGCCTCCAACCTCCAACCTTACATTCTTCGGAACAATCACCTCGCCCCTGCCACGCCCAAACGCCCACTTCCCCTTCAAAAAAAGAAGACCGAGGGGTGGTGGTGAACGGTTCACATCGGCGTTCAATTCAGACTCTCCAAAACATGACCAGCACATTCTCACAAGAGCCTATTCTCCAAGTGTATGATCCGGGCGTGATCTACCCCTATTGCTTGGGTATCTCGTATTACCACCACCATTACTGGATGATGAACAAAGGTTGCAGGCCGAAAACCTCCGAAAACCCGACCTCTGATCTTCTGTCAGGTTCGTGTTGACCGACCGTGACGGGGTCAGTCCACCTCAGCATCTGGGCGTCCCCAGCCGAAGCGTGGACGTACCGGTGAAGTCTGGCATCAATCACCTCCGGAGAAGGCGGAGGAACCGGCGAGGGGAGCGTTCTTTGGGAGGGCAGGGCGTTCTTTGGGAGTCAGAGGTGCCTCGTTCCGCCACTGGTCCGCCACTGTTCCGCCACTGTCCGTGTCAAAGAAAAATGGGCATCGCCAGAGAAGGAGGCCATTGCTACAAGGGTGGAGGCCATCGCTGTTGGGTTGGAGGTCAAGTCATCCAGATTCTGAAAGGGGTCCGTTGAAAGTTGGGCTCCGTCCGGCGCCCAACTTACATCACGAACCATCACGCCGGTGCGCACGATGTAAGGAGAAGCCCACCGCCCCCCCCCCGTGCCACCGATCCTCGTGATGAAAACCTGGTAGAGCGGGTGAAATCACCCCGCATGGGAATCGAACTGGGGTGTTGGATGAACAGGATGAGCCTGTCCCCGCCTCTCATGGGACTCAGGGTGCCTGTGGCGACGTTGCGTCACTCACGTCCCTGAGGTGATCCCCCACGTCTCGTTGATACATAAAACGTATTCAAACGTGATATACCAGGGCACCCGGAGGTTAAGGGGTGTCTATTAGGGTCTTAGAGGTGATTCGGGGTGTCCATTCAAGGGGTTGGGTCCTAGTAGAAGGGAATATCCCTCCCATTTCATGGTGGATATTGGAACCTAGATGTGAAACACCTGTTAGATGTGAAACGTGGGTGGAAACCCATGTCCCCCCCGTTTCGGGTAAAGGTTACCTAAAGGCGATCCACGATGCGCAAAACCTGGGTAGGGCACGGAATCCTCGCAAAACCAGGAGGATGTTTGTTCTTCTTGCCTTGGAGGTCTCCACGCCGCTCTTGGTGACAAGACCCCTTGTCCCTCGGATCTACCGAAGACAACAGCCGCCCCGTTGAGCGGCGTCTTTCGTGGACGCCTCCAGGATTGAACCCAATCAGTGGAGAACATCCAAACATCTTTCGACCGCCGAGAGCCGGGCGCCTTGTTGCCAGACCCACTTCTGCCAGTTGTCCTTGAGTCTAACAGCGCTGTTATCCTGTGGCGGGGGCCCCGCATCCGCCGAGGTGTCTGCGCCGGACGCGACTGATCTAACGCTCCCCTCAGCCGGAGGATCCCTAAAAGAAAGGTGAACCGAACGAAGTCCACCTGTGCCATATCCGTTTGATGGCTTGTGCCATTCGGGTGGAGTGGGGAAGCCGGTCCCCCCCTCCAAAAAATAGCTGTTGCACTCTTAGTGGGGCACTCTTTGCACACTCTCTGACTTTGCATGACCCTAACCATTCAGATCGGTGGATGAGACTTGTCCTCAGTTCCATAGCGCATGAAGCTCCGTTCTCGAACCATGAGACACAAATCCCTCCCCCCCCTCTCCACAAATCCACAAGCCTCGTGTTTTTCACCAAGGGATGAACCCTCTTTCTGACTCCAGACCCAGTCCATCAGCCCCATCGGCCCCATCAGCGCGAGGTCACACCCCTCGGTCGACCTTCCGCCTGGAGTCCCCACGGCCCCGAAGACTAGGAGACCCTCAGGAGAACCTGTGTGGATCCTCTCAAAGCCTCGGGCAATACAAAGCAACCTGAAATCTAGAAGTCCACGTGAAATCCGTGGACTAAATATCTTGATAGACATGATAAACATTGATGTTTACATCCGCAACAAACCTTTTTTGATAGAAAGGGAAGCGGCACTCTTTTACCCAGGTACCGCCGGGCCGTGTCAGTCCCGCCGTCCCCCTCCGTCCCTGTGGCCAAGGCTCTGGTTTCATCTCCAGTTGCGGCAAGGCATGGATCGCATCGAGGATGATGGTCGGATCGCCTGGGCCCAGTCGATTCGTTCGGTGTTTGGGCCGAAACCGTGGCCGAAACCGTCCGAGTGGGGTCGTTCTGGGGCGGATTGACATTGGGATCGCATTTGATGTGGTTTCAACCTCGCTTTTGGGCGCCAAGTTCGAGAAAGGTGCGAGTTCGGCTCAAGATGCTTCGGCTCAAGTGAACGCTTTTTGGCTGATGCTGATTTTGGTCGCTCTGAGTCTTTTCGCTTGTTAGCTAATGAAGGAATCTGGAGACCCGTTCTCCAACCATTGGAGTCCGATTGAAGACACTCCGAACTTGGGTGGTGTAAGACCCTGGTATCCAAAAAGATCCTGTTTTGGTGATTCAAAAGATATAAAACCTGAAAAAAGAAATCAAAACTGCTCGACTGGTGTTCTGGACCTGCCAAAGGAAGGAGGTGGGTGTTGATGATTTTGTGGAAAGCTTGAGACTCGGGAATCCAGATTCAAGGGCTGGTCTGGGTGTAGTATAGCAGCTTCCTCTTGCAGAAATACTCCTACGAGCACGTTCTCCCTCTTTCATTCTAATAATATACCCAACCAGTCGATTTCTACTAAGGTACATGTGTCCAACCAATCGCAAATGGCAAAGTATAGTGTTCCATGTTAGTTGAAAAGACTGTACTGTGTCTGCTCTCCGTCGCGTTGAGTGGAGTTGCCACAACGGTGCAAAGAAATGGACCATGACTCCATTCTGGCTACAAGAGTCATATCTGTGAGTTTAGGCATGCTCGACACCTGACCATCTCCATCTATAATGGCTTCAAAGTATATAGATGTATAGAAAGCACACTTTTCAAACAGTGAATTCTATGTTCTTGACTCTCTTGTGCTGAAAGGCACCGTCAACACACCGGACACCTGTTCTCTCTTTCACCCTCTCTCCCCCAGGACCACCGATTGATCACCCCCCTCCCCTTAGCACGTCGCCCCCCGGACCGGACGCCGAAAAACGCCGCGTCGGCCTGTGAGTTGCGCCAGCTTCGGAAACTGGATCAGCCCGGAGAAGCTGACCCAGCCCTGGGTGTCCATGACGTTCTTGCGCAGATGGATATCCTCAAGGTCTTGGGCTCTGCTCCGATTGTGGGGGGGTGTTGTAGTTTGGGAGATGGTCAGCGTGGGTGTTTTTCTGCGACCGACGTTCCTTCGGTTCGGTGGGTTGTCTTTCTCCATGCAGAGCCCAGTTGGTGCATGTCAAACAAAGGCCCCGAATGCCGCAATCCCATGTCCACATCTTTGTAATGAAAAGTGATCTGTGACCTCTTTGGAGTCTGTAAGTAACCTTTTACCGGCCCAAGTGACCTTATCCTGCGATCTCAAAGGGTCACTTTGAAGGTCCTGGTGAGAAATTTCATGAACATGATCGGTTCAACATTGCCATGGAAGGCTATGATTGAATTGAGGTGGACGGTGGCGGATGTCTTTGGTTCCACCGTCATGCGACGAACTCGAAGCCTCAGAGCAAGTCCGATCGCGTGGACGCGCGCGCGCGCGTTCTTCATGACTTGGTCGTAAGGTGAACACGCACCAGAATGAGTACAGTAGGTGGTCGTAAGGTGACTAGGCCAAAACTTTCTGGGGAACAGGCTTTCACGAGGTTACCCACACTGAAGTAGTATTCAATCCTCAGTGGAGAGCAGGCATGCGCACTCATTGGAAGGGCTTGGGCAAGGCTTGGGCAAGACTCAAACAGGGAAAATCTGTAGGACTCTACCACTTAAAGGATATGAGCCAGCTTTGGGGTGGGTATCGTTTTGGGGTATCGTCTTTAGGGCGTGCCCCTATCGTTTTTGGGGTGGGGCGATAAAAACCTAATACCGACGAAACGTTCCATATAAATGCCTGTACGAAAAAATTAGACTACGACTCAGTAACTCATATACTGCTAAAAGGTTGGAGGCCATCGCTTCTAGGTACAAAGGGATTCTACCCAGTACCAAGACTCAACGATGAGATCGTGCCTGGAACTGGTCCGGCGGAGTTTTACGGCCACATCCGGCACCGCAGAGGGCTGTTAGGCTAACCATATTCACCAAAAGCTTGACCAAGTGGGCCATGTCTATCAATGGGTCTGGAACCTGCAGGGGTCTGTTTTACTTGAAAACACCGGGTTTGTTGCCGCCCCATGGGTTTTCGTCCACGAACGACTCGTATCGGGTGTTCGTCCACCTGTGGTCCGAAACCGGGACCGCTCTCGCAATCAAAACCTGCTCGACGGGCAGGTCCATCAGCTCATCTCCCCCCTTCAGGACGGTTACGGCATTGTTTCATGAGAAGAAAAGGAAGAGAGAGTCACCGAGTACTCTATCACTCCTCTCCGAAGATGGTGGATTCCACACTGATAGCTCACACGTACTCGGCCGGTGTCTTGAAAACTGGTGTCCTGGACTCGACCGCTGGGATTCACCGCCCGGTGTCGGGGGGGACACTGTTCGGTTCGGTGGGGTCTTCGTGCTTGGCTCCCGGGAAACAGTCTCGAGCATCTGTGATCCCCAATCGACGGTCGACTGTCACCGTCGCCACACCACTGGTGGTGCGAAGATGAGTCATGCTGGAAAGGAGGCGCTTCTCGACATGCCAGGCGGTTTCTCGCTCAATGACACTGTGTCTACTCGTGATGAAGACACCACTGTGTCTACTCGTGATGAAGATCAATGGCTTACATCTCGGGCGAATTCGGGCGATGCCGAACTGGTCCAGAGCGAGTGTTGGGCATTTGGTCTTGGCAATGAGTCCGTTTGTGTTCTTGTGTTTCGAACCTTGTTTCTACATGGGCTATTTTTCATCACAGCACCTTTCTCGCCACGTTCTCGCCACTTTCTTCTCTTGACCCATCCATTGGACGAACCGATCCCCATTCGCAAAACGCGGCGCTCTCTGCGCTCGCCCCCGATCCGCCCACCGATCCGCCGATCCTCCACCGATACGAACGCTCCGTGAAGTTCGCCCGAGTCGCTGCGACTTGGCCTTGGTCACCAAGTCATTTCCTCGGCGCCAGACGGACCCCATGCGCCCGGCGTGGACTTTTTCGCGAGGGAGAGCGGGCGGCAGTCCGAAGTGGCGCGAAGGCCGCAGGAGCGAAGGGCGCCGCAGTTCCGCTGGTGAGGTGAAAGAGGTAGTTCACTGCCTTTGAAAAGACGCGGTTCCTCCTTTTTCCAAGCAAATCTTGGCAGTCAAAACAGCAGCGTTTGATACAGTACCTGTTTTTGAGACTGTCGGAAGTCCGAACCCACCAACTTCTTCTCACAAAATCCAGATCCATCAAGCCAAAAAGAAAAGGAAACGGGAAGGAAAGCTGGGCACAAAGACTCCACCCACAGGTGGACCTTCCTTGCTTCACCAGGTCGTGGAGGTCGTCACGTCACTGGACTAAAACCCCTGCAGGAACAGGTCACGTCGTGCCAACCCACCGGTCTGAAGTCTTCACTTCCAACGACCGGAGAGTCACGTGAGTCACGGCGAGTCCAAGCGGAGGAGAAAAAAACACATCGAAACGGTTTGGCACCAACGCCGAGGTTTTGCACCTTCCACATCGACGATGTCACAAGCCACCGGGCCGACCGTGATCGGTCCATTTCCGACGGACCGCACGTGTCGAAGAGTCATGGACGCGAGTCATGGTCCGTTGACGGTCACCGCAGACTGGAAGAAAGCGACAGCTGCATGTGGGTTGACTGTCGCAGTTTGGTGAGGTTGATGTCACCGGGCACCACCTGAGAAAAGTCATAAACACCATAAGATGCTTTGTATTTGTGATGTTCTTCATATACAGTATGGGTTTTATGTGTTTGTTAGTAAAATCTGATGTGTATATATACATAGATGTATTAATGTATTGTAGTATACTGCATGATCGTATATTGTTCTATCGTAAATTATATATATATATATCTGATAATACAAAATTCATCAATATTCCACATTTTATAATATATAATGGCTGTGTATAATATGGCTGCCATCGTAGGATATGTTACATAATATTGTATATTGTCTTCTATTACAGTATATCGTATATGTTTTCATTATTAGTTTATGTTAGTTATTCTACTATCAATACGCTAGTTTATTATATTGTATAATATATTGTACTATGCTGTAAATTATATGTATGTGTCTTTGTCGTATGGGACCATCTGGCCGCCCCAAAAGGTCATGAGGCGCCGTCCCACACGCCTCATGCGACCCAGTTCCCACCGTTCCCACCGTTCCCACCGTTCCGTCCGGTCGTCCAACGGACCCACCCCGGACCTGACCGGACCTCGCTTGTTCCCCCAAGCCGCTCTGAGGACTCGCGGTCGCCGCCGTGGAGGACCTGGCCGACCGGGACGGTCCACCGGTGTCGTCGACCGCGGTGGGTCCGGGGTTCGGATGGAGGGCTCGGACCGGAGAAAAGGGAGCAATGGGACTGGTCGGTACGTGCGGAAAACCCCGCCATACGACCTCGAAGTCGAGCTAATCCGTGCCAGGCCGAATATTTGATGAGACTCTATTAATTAGGGTTCAGTTTAGTTGGTGCCAATTATAGATCGATCGCCTCATCTAAAGTGGTCCAACTGCTTTCTGAAGCAAAAAGATGGCGAGAAGCACCCACCGTTGCAGTCTGGAGGGTCTTGTAGATGGCTGGTAAGGATAAACTTCTTCCGCTATCCACAACTAGATGCACAACCAAGACATCAGCCTGGCATTGATTTTTTCTGATTGGAGGAAGAAGAGATCCTTCTAGATTGGGTCTATTACCAGGGCCGGGGTGGATGATGGTTCAGTTGCAGGCCTTGTTCAAAAAATCGTGATTTGCTTGTGACACTAGGCGACTTGCTGCAAATTGACTCCAAAGCCTGGACCTGGCGAGGGTGCCAGGCCGAGTGGGAGGCTTCCCAGGTCGTCACTCGAGTCACGGCAAGGGCCGAAGAACAAGTAACAAGGATGCTGATGGAGGCCATCGCTACAACAAGTCAAATAGAGGCCAGGAGAACATGAATTTGGACCATCCCTTCAGTCTCCACAGCATGGTGATCAGTTGGTAAGCCATGAGAGATCCAAGCACTTTGCGCCAAGGCACATGCATGGCATCATTTCTGGCGCGTAGCCCATGTATGGCATACCGCCCATGCCTCCCGAACGCGGCAAACCCTGGAAAAGGTGGGAGAATGGTGATCTCCCGTGAGCCAGGAAAACGCCCTGCCACCTGCTAGGTGGCAAACCACATGACTACACGCGCGCGGCGTCCCATGGTCTGAGACTGCTTTTCATGTTGGAGTCTCTCATGGGAACAGGTCATGACGTGACAGATCAGCAGCGAAAAGCCCCGAACTTTGAATGCGCCAAGCGGAACGGGTACACCGTCACATGTAGACCGTTACATGAATAACACCTCCCGCCTCCAGATATTGGAGGTTTTATTTATCAACCGTCCAAACTTTCTACAGTCCCAGGAGAGCTGATGATCCTCGAGTTGCCCTCAACTCTGACGCCAAGGATATCAGATGATGTTGTGGGTTTGGGGATGCTTGGGGCAAGTTGCCGACCTTCCTGGTGAAAGCACCCCTATCAACTGATTCCATCAGGAATGTTCACCGATTCTTGGTTTGGGGGGGTTGACCCAGAGCTGATGCATATGTCTTGCACATGAGAAGAATATGCCTTAAAGCCCCTTCCTTGCAGCTCAACTAGCTCGCTCCCTCCCCCCACTGTCTCAGCTGGAGCGCCCCCCAACGGTTCAGCGAACACCCCTGATAAATCGCCTGCCATGTAGGGTGGAAACATCTGCATCTGTGGCATCTGAAAGCTCATCGCCCCTTCCTGCATAGGTGCTGGCATGAAGCCACCCATGCCTGCGCCTGAGGAAAGATTCAGGGCAGGGGGCTACACGGAGCCGCAGGTCGGCGGAGGGCAAACCCACAAGCATTGACATGGGTGTGTATGAAAACCAGAAGACCTCCCAGTTGGACCCCAAGGAAGAAGGAACATAGACCAAAACCCATGTCCCTCTTGAACTACACGTCCAAGACCTGGACATCGTGGGTGTGGTGACGTGGATTCTTCGCCACATTTAGGCGCCCAGGTGAACCAATCCACCTCCAGGGTGTTTGTCCCGATCAACCCCAGGAGCTAAACCGTTCGTGACCCGGATGCTTCGGCCTGTCAAAAGGCCTGTCGTCACAACGACTCTGGAGAGGTCCGTGACTAATACAGTACTCTTGGGTCTATCCTAATACCTGTAACAGTGGATGATGATGGTTAGGTACCTGGCCTGGTTCCAAAATAGGGATTTGCTTGTGAAACCGGGTCCTTTTACAGGTCAGAACGGACCCAAACAGAGTCCTTCAAGCTTACCGACCCGCTAGCGGTCGCCTCTTCTTGGGAGGGTGGGACCCTTTTTCACCCAAAAATACGACGGCAAGGGACAGATCCGGTTCGACGAAGAGAGAAAGGAAGTGGGTGGGCAGACCCCACTTCCTTTTCGATTCCTTTGGACCCACCCCACCGCTGCCCAACCAAAAACCACACACTCGAACACGTGCGCCTCGTGAAAACTCAGACCGAAAGAAGGCGAGTGAGTCCGTTCGACGAAGGCGAAAATGCGGCAAACTGCCCCGCACGGGACCCGTGCCAGCAGCTTAGCTAGGACTTGGAATCTACGGGGCGAATCCTGTCATAAACTGAGGGGAGTTGAAAGATATCAAGGTGAAAAGCTTCAATGTCAGATCCATCATGGAGTCACTGTCCCTGAAAAAGAAATGGGAAGAAACAGGATGCAGTCTCTTCCATTTGATGGATGTCCAGTCCACGAACAGGGAAGGTCCTTGACAACTATCCACAACTAGATCCGTCTACATACAGCTCGAGCTAGGCATCCTCCCATTCTCACCCACCAAAATGACGCTTCGACAGCTGTAACGAGCTGTCGCTAGTTCGGAAGTTTTGGTGAAGAGCCATGGAACTCAATCACGCAAATACCACCGTATTCCATGGTAGATCCCTCAAAATCAGAATCTTGGAAGCCTTAGTAGCCTAGTTGCTTCATCCAGTGCCTTCAGAATCACACCTTGTATCTACTGGCTACTCGCCGCCTCTCGTGGCGGGGTCCCCGATCACAGGGACACCACGGCGGTGTCACCCGTCTTCGTCACCCGACTCGGCGTCCGCGGCGGTCGCGGTGGCGGCGGCGTCCGTGTCCGTCGCACCTCCTTTGCCAACAGCTGCATGAAAAGGACCACCTGCCGGCCGCGCTGCCGAGCCGGTCTGGATGGATGTGGGAGTGGGAGGACACGAAGCGGACACCTCGTCTTTTAACGAGGGGAGGACACGGGTCGTATATGCCAGGTACCATATACATAGAAAATAGATATGAAAATATACATACCCATTGCTGGTTGACTTGGGAGTATCCCCTCTACAGCACTGATCAACCGACCAATATTCAATATTCAAAGGCCATCTATGGATTGATTATATAGTCATGCTGGCTTCTTGGAGATGGATGGTGTTTTGGAACGGCTCTGCATGATGACAGTGGGAAGGTTACTGCCCGTGGCAAGCCGTGGCTTGCAGGTGATTCTTCTCATTGCCCGTGTAAAAAATTTGCTGCGAGAATTGTGTGGCAAACGAAACCAGAGTCTCAGAACAAAAAAAGACTGAGCCAAGAGTCCTGAGGGTACGCAAACGATGTTTGGTGTTGTCACCAAGTCACACTGAGCTTAGAATGGTTGAGTTCCCCAGGAAGGGATCCTTCACCAGAAATCCATGGAGCACTCAAGGCTCCATGGATTGCTGCGGCCTACAAGGGCTTCACTGTGTTACGGCAGCTTGTGCTGGGCCTCACTCGGCAGGACCTGGTGCATACAAGAAATCCAGTATCAACAACAGCAAAATAGAAAGAATAACATGCATATGGAACAAGAAGCTACTGGGAGCAAAGGGCATCGCTACTAGGAGGTGAAGAGTCTTATATGTTTGATCGCCACCCACCCACCCTCCCAGCACAAAGAGCTACCTGCCATGTGGGCGGTGCCAGGAGCTACCTGTCCAGACCGCGGCAGACCCCAAATCTGTGCACATGGGTTGCGAATCCATGGGGAATCCATCAAATCCATGGCTGTGGGAATGTTTTGGAGGCGTTGTTGTTCCATTCACAGACTGTGGGCCGCTTTGGAACATTTTCCAACATCTTCCAACTGTGGCACCACATCCTGGCTGTGCCCAAGCAAACCACTGCGGAGCTGCGCTCGGACCGACCAGACTGGACCGGACCGCCTGCAGCGGACTGCAGTCGAGTCCGCGGACTGGTCTTTCACAGGTCTTTCACAGGTCAAAAGGTCACTATCTTCTGAAAAGAAACTTGAAAGAACAAGTCCAGAAAAATGATCCAGACGCCGGACCCCTGGAGCACGAAAGACCAAAAAAAACACGCCCCCACGGTTAAACCCCACCTGCGACGGCGCTTGTGACGGCCGCGCTTCTGGCGTCGCGACCTGCGCGTTTTGCGGCTCTTCGGCCTGGTGGAGCGGCGGAGAGCGGAGCGGAAGACTAAGACGAGATGAGTCATGCCTTCCACGCGCGGAAGACGTGGTCCTTCCTCTTCACCCGTTTAAAGAAAAAAAAAGAGGAGTGCCACACAGCGATGTGGATCCGTGTCTCATCCTCCCAAGTGAGCTGGGCGGACCCAATGTGTACTTAGGAGACGGGAGCTTCCGGTCGTTCGTACCCGTTGAAGATCCAAGCACTGAAAGGGTCCAAGGGGGAAGACATGCAACACCACCCTGACATGGAACACCCGGAAATAAAAGAAGGTGTTTGTGTTTGTTTATGGTTTTTTCTTGTTTCCTGTTCATGGTAAGGGTACTATTCACTTGGTCACACACGCCACAAAATCAAAACGTCGAACAAGAGGTGAAGTTGTCTTTAAAAATCCTCATAGCTTCTGTCAAAACAGATATGCAAAGACTATTTCTTTGCTCCGAGATCGGTGATATTCTCAGGATCTGCCTCTGGACACCTCCAACCTTGCCTCAGAACTGCAGCAAAGCAGTGAGCATAAGGGATCGGCAGGATCGGTTCCAAAGACCGGGGAAAGAGATGATCACATGTCCTGCCATGTCCTGTCAACCACTGCCTTGCCGGGAAAGATGGTGAGTTGGCAGGATCCTTTGGTGAGGGAAACCAATGAAGCCATGGAAGAAGACGAATGGACCGAACACTCACCCCTTTGCTGCGGGATCTTGAGAAACACTCAGGTGCAAATGACTTGCGACAGCGCAGTGTGACAGCGCAGCAGCTTCGCAAGCTCTAATGTGGGAAGGAAAAAAATGCATAACAAACCACAAACATCCTCGAAAGAAAAGAAAACTATCCAAGTAACTATCCCGTGTTCAAGACAAAGAAATAACGTGGAAGAGTTGCATTGTACAAGCGAGAACCTCCGTCCAGCATCCCGATGTCATAGTAAATAAATTAGCTTCTCGCTGTGTGCAAACGTACAAAATCAACCCAATCGTAGGCGGAAACGAACCCTGCGGGATGTTCTTGTATGTTCTTGTCCTATGCGACAAGGGATAAACATTACTTTGCCAACCAAGTCACTGTTTTCACTTGACTCGCTAGCTTTCCCTCATGTGGAAGTCAACTAGTTTATATAATATATATAGTTCCAACAGGAGACTACAAAAAGATGCATGGCCACTTCCATGTGATGGTGTCAGAGTCGAATTCCCCCCGCCACAGCATCTTCTCCACGTGGGACCTCCGTAAAAAAAACTATCCATGGCACCTATCTTCCATGCTCTCCGCAGCGGAACCGTCCGCTTCCTCCGCTTCCCCCGCCTGGAAGCTACTCGCGCCTTGAGGTGATTGGAATCCTCGGGGGCCGCCGGGGATCCAAGGCAACAAAGCCCTTCGGATGGCGTTCTGAGGATTCACCGACTCAGAGTTCGAAGCCCTTCCACCTCAAGAGGTGCAGCTTCCTCAATCTTCCTGGATGCGACCCTCCCGAGAGATGTGAAGCAAGCATCCCAAAGAACAAGAGTCGCACGTTTTGTGGACCTACTAGGGGATCTTCATTTACAAGGGGGTTTGGGACGCTCCTTTGCCAAGCCAATCAGGTGCAGTATCACTGGCCACACTTGATGGAGATCTCGTTCCATCTTTGAACAATCTCTCAAAAAGTCCTTCATCTCTTCCACCCCATGTTCCACTTCCCCCCGCCCACCGCTTGGAGCGATCTCCCTCCGTCCCAACTCCAGTCCCGCCGAGCGGCCACCCTTCGACCGCCGGCCCTTGCCCTTGCCGTCGCGCTCGCGGCGGCCGCCTTTGGGGCTGGGCCCACCTCGCGGGTAGCTCCTCGGGGCCGGGGGAGTTGGAGGGAGGAGGCATCTGGGAGGGCGGTCCAAACTGAGTGAAGCCCCGCCCCAAGCCGTGAGCCCCCGAAAATTTGGTCTGTGATTTTCGGGTTGATACATGGTACAATCCGACAGAAAATGGTTCAATGGTTCAGGTCCGGTCCGCTGGAATACGGTGTACTGTCTTAAGGTCTTCAAGTCTTAGACTTCCCACGACCACTGACCACGCCGCGGGGCCGCCACCGGACCGCGCCGGAGCCGAGCTGCTGTCGCTGGTGGCCACCGGCCATCGGATCGCCGAGAGAACCGAGGCCCGGCTGGCCATAAGCTCCCTCACGTGGCGGTCGCCTCAGTGTCCCGAACCCCCACACCGCTGGGTGCCGGCTCCTTTTGGGGGGACCATATGAGCTAGAGGTGGGCGCAAATCGAAGCTTTGTTAAGCTGTTGAGTTGTTTAAGTCTGAGTATCAGACCTGGGAAGATTCCAAGATGGGTTTGGGGAGTACACAATCTTTGAGCTAGATGTGAGGCATGAAACGTAGAGGTCTCTCAGTCCTTGTCTAAAGATCACGACTGACATGACGCACTGCCCTCGTCTAGCATTCCACAGGGCAGTGGTCAAGATGTTTTGTGGGCCTAGCAAAAGCAACTAAATCATCTTTGTGAGGGATCTGAGAATGAACTTTGTCAGGATTCTCAGATACCAAGTGCAAACTCCACACACAGTGAGCATTGCCCGAGATAAGAATCTGTTGAGAAAGGAACACATACAGCAGTTTCAGAGTAGATGGCACAGACCTCAAGATGTCCTTTACATGGAGGTTCATATATATATATATATAAACCACCTCTTAGGGGTCTGTGCCATCTACTCCCAATCCACTATACAGGGCCCATCCAGTCCCTGAGGAACAACCAAAACAATCGTTCCCATCACATGGAAAGGTGGAAAGTCTGGTGCCCTGGTCCTGTCTGCGGCTGCCCTGGCTGCCCTGTCTGCCCTGGCATCACCCGCCCTGGCAACCGCACGTTCGCATCAGACCGATTCCCATCACCCTGCCGCCAGCAGACGGCCTCAGATCTCCACTAGGATCGGTGCTTTCGACGTTCGGGTCCTCTTCCCTGCGTGGACGTGTCACGTGGACGGCTCTCGAGGAGGCTCATCGAGTCATCCAGTCCGCTCGCACACAGGAAGAGCTCAGGCGTCATATGTTCGCTCAACAAGTGTGTGCCATCATCTCAAAACCGGGTGAGGTTCCTTCTGCATTGCCCATGATGATCTTTCACGAAGCAAAAACCCAACACGTCTGCACGTCTGGTTACAAGATCAAATGGGCGGAGTCGAGACAATCCGATGAAGCTCCAATCGATGCCTTCCGTGACCGAAAGACCTACAGAGGTAGCCAGTGACCATAAATAGGACCCGTCACCAGGAGTACCTATAGGATAGTCGAACTAGGGTTCTTCAACCTCGCGATAGGGAACCCTCAAGACTCCTACTCTTTTTGGTACAAGTCTTGTTTCCTGTGGTGACTAGAAGCTCCAGGTCTTGAACCACATGTTTGCTATTGCAAGGTCCACAGCACCCATCTTGAAAATCAACACGACCTTTTCTGGAGAGGAGCAGAACGTAAGCCAACTGAAAGGCAGCTGAAACCAACTGTTCAGCTGCCAGCATGGAACCCAGGAACCCTGCAACCTCAGGAAGCCGAGGAGGTCCGAGACCAAACCGGCCAAGTGCTCTCAGCCGTGCACCTGCTTGCATGCTTTCCTCCTTTGCCTTTACCTTTGCCCTCGCCATTCTCTGACATTCCTTTTCCCTGAGCACGTCTCTCGACGTCCCACTTCGATCCTTCTAGCCAAGCAGGACATGCTTTCAACCGGAACTGCTAGGACAACTCGTCGAACCCAGCGACGGTACCGAGTACCACGCACCGTGAGGTTCGGACCCGAAAAACGGTTCTGGAAGGTGGGATCACCTAGAACCCACCCAATCGACAGACAGCAGAAACTATAAGAGCCTGGCGTGCAGACCAAAGGTGGTCTTCAGACCAAAGGTGGTCTTCAGCCCAAATGTGCTGCCAAAAACCTGAGGATCCGGGCATTACCACGGCCTTTGCCCTTTTCATTTCCTTTTCCTTTACCTTTCACTTCGCTGCCCTTTCGCTGCTCCTCGTAAGACCTCTGTTCAGCGCGGCTCGACGGATGTCCATTGAAATGGAGAAGAAGTTCTTTCCAAGGATCGACAAAACGAAACTCCAAAAACGGGTGCTTCCTCTACATCAAATCGTTCCACTCTTTATTTGAGGGGCGAAAGAAATCGTCCTTTTCCAGGCCTAATCCAGGTGTGTATAACAAGGGACCTCAGTTCGAAGGGGATCAAGTTCAGTCACTTTGAGCTTGGTTTGACCAGTCACAGAGCTCGGGGTGGGGGACTCGTTCCATTTAGTGAGGAGCACCTTCGTTCGGCGTACCCCGACGTGACTGGTTTGAGATCCGACTCAAGTCCATCTCGCCTCAACTCGCTGAAGCAACCGGTGTGGGGCTCAGTTCCACGGTGTCAGGCCGAATGGTTTCACCACGCCGAAGGTTCCAGTTCCTACTTCTCAGAGTGATTCGCTCTGAGTGATGGTCCCGTTCCAAAAAATTAACATGTCTGACTGATGTTACTTTTTTCTCCGGAGCTGCTGGATGTCCAGGATCTGCCCCGGGTCGATCTTCTTCCATTGTCGTTTGGCCTTGGCTTTTCCTGGCGCCGAACCACGAGACCCAGATTTCTCTGCTGGTCCGGAGATCGATGGCCAGACCCTGAACGAGGTGGGGATCTGGACGCCGAAGACCTTTTCTACTCGCAGGCCCGGATTCTGAGGAGGATGTATTAGTCAACGTCGGAGCTTTTGTTCAACCAATTTGATCCTACCCCACATTGAAGCTACAGGAACTTTGGTACAGGCCCTCAGATTGTCAGCCATTCCTTTTACCAATGCCTTCGACTTGAAACGGATACTTCGGGAGTCAGTCATCAATTCATCGGTGAATGCAGATTGAACTGCAGTTCTTTATTTAACCACACTTTAAAACCCATTGACAAGCAAACATTCAACATGAACACCGGCCACGTGCCTGCTGCCCCGTCAGTGGCATCCATGGCGTCCAGTGCTAGGCACCGAACGAAGGAGGTCCCTCTGTAGAGCCAACGGAGAATGAAGGCGCATGCCCCAAGGGCGTTTCAAATTGACAAGAGTGATGATGAAATCAGCAACAACAACAACAACAACAACAACGACAACGACAACGACAACGACAACGACAACGACAACAACAACCACCACGACTACGACTACGACTACGACTACGATTACTACTACTACGACGACGATGACGACGACTACTCCTACTCCTACTCCTACTCCTACTACTACTCCTCCTCTTGCTACTGCTCCGCTACAGCAGGACGGAATCTTTCCCAACAAGCCTTGGAACTTGTGAATCTTCAACATGACCACGTTGGCTAAGTTCCTTTTGGGGGGGTCCCGGAAACACAAAGAGCGTGGAAGCCAGGGGAATCCATGGACCAAAAGAAGACCCAGGTGTGTCCGGTGTCTTCCCTCTCCAAAAATGACAGCAGAAATATGCTTATAGGATAACAGCCAAAACTGCACACCTTTTGTCTTGAGCCAAAGCGGTCGAGGTATGAGGTATATACACAAGTGTGCAATGCTTACTTAGAAAATACACCCCCCGCGGAGCGGAGTGGCTTGGCCACGGCGCGCCGAAGAGGAAGTCGTAAGCAAAGTACCAACCTCAGGCGGCGATGAAATCAAACCGCTCTACAGCCCTCGAACGAATGCTCACGAAGGCAGTGGTGTTACGATAGCTTATGCTTCTGAAAGGCCGATGCAAGACAACTCATCCCTTTTTCCGACGCAGGAAGCGCCACAAGGCTTCGCTTGAAATGCTTTCACTTTCCAACCTCAAAAGTTGCAAGGGGCAACAAGGTTCTTCAAACAAAGACGGCGATGCCTTCCGGCACGCTCCTCTCTTCGGGAACTCTTACCGTTCCAACTTCCAACCTGGAAAAGAACGTGCCCAGTAGGCAAATGCCATCGAATTAAGTGCATGAGTGCTGATGAAAGATCTACGGCAGAGCGTTCACGCTTGCTCGCGCAAACACGGAATGATGGCACGCCAACAAATTTGATCTCCGGCGTGACCTTCCGGTCCGCACTGCGAACGGGCAATCCCGGCTTCCTCAATCTCTCCCCTTTTCGCACCCTTTAGCTGATCACTGGTTCCACCAGCCGGCATTGGAGCTAGACCACCAGTTGGATGAGGACGACGAAGATGCTGGCTGCTGCCACGATGAGCGTCCGGAACCCGACCAATTCCAGGATCCGGAAGACCATGAGCGATTGGTCCATCCTTGGTCCCAGCTGCTTGGTACTGGCTCTTCCCTTTGCCCTTTCCTTTGCCTTTGCCCTTGGCAAGCGGACAATCATGAGCACGATGATCCGGAGATCCGCACAGCAAAGCTTGGCATCCTTCCCACTGCCCTTTGCAACGCGGATCGAATGCTGTCTTTTTGCTCTCATGCATGGGCAGTGGACCTGCGCTCGCTGAGCTTGACCTCAGGGAAACGACCCGAGAAAATCGTCACGTCAGAGTTCTCGGTTCCTTCACACCAGCAGAGGTTGAAGCACCCTATAGACTATCCTTTTGGTACTCCTGTAGAATCCCATAAGGTCACTTAACCTCTTAAGACTCTGTAGGCAGGCATAAGGCCAGTTTTCCAGGGTTCCAGTTTGCATGCAGGGATCATCCAGGGTTCCAGATTTTCCATTAAACTAGCAGAAGAAGCACGTGGCCTTCCTCAGCCTTTGCTGACCCTCATCAAAAAAACTCACCCCTCTTTTCTGTCTTGCAACGTCCAGCCTTCCAGAACTTGCACCCAATCTTGGATGTATCTTTCTTCTCTCTCCCTCTTGACTGCAAACGCCTTTTACACTCTTTTCGCGTTTCTTGGGTACCTCATGCTCATATGGGCAGTTTTCTTTGCTACAGCCCCCTTTGTTCCACTGGACGCAAAACCCCTGGGGGTGCACGGCTGCAGGAGCGGATGTCTTGGCACCTCCTACACTAGCGGCAATCCGTCCCCGATTGTCCTCTAGCCTTTCCCTCATGAGATGTCTACGAACAGCGTCGTACAGGAACTGGTAGCAGCGCTTTGAACTTCCCTCTTCGGCCCGGTGATACTCTTCGATGTCATGGGCGATAGCCCTGTGGTTCTTCACTTGCTGGTAGAACAAAGTTTCCAGGACAGTAGCCTCAGGCAAATCAGTAACACCAGCGGTAACGGAATCCCAATTGGACAAAAATGTCTTGAGGTTGTCGCCCGTCATCTTCACACTGAACAAGTCGCTCAAGGAGTACGTGGCGCCATGTTTGATATTTGCGCTGAAATACTCATGCATCATGAGTGGCATCTGTCTCCCACAGACGGGACGATCCTTCGTGGACTCCTTCTCCTTGAAAGCGTCAACCTTGCGCGCAAATTCACCTGTAGCAATCGATGATAAGGCAGCGAGAAGCTTTGCATCGAATCGAGAGTGGTAAAACCCTCAGGACTAGCAAGACCTTCGATGGTTTGCCCCTCAACCCACACTTTGTTAATCCATGAGAATGCCTTGTCGGGCTTGGATGATGCGGCCCTCAGCGCAACCCTTACCCGGATCTTCCAATTGCGGTAACTCTCAGGCTGTGGAAAAGAAGGGATCTTGATATGGTCCGCCTCTTTGGTGGTAGAACTCTTACCTCCCAACACCTGTTTTGAGCTTCTTCATAAGTGTCTTGTCTGTCAGTTCATCATCGTCTTCATCAAAATCATCATCATCATCATCATCATCATCATCATCATCGCCTTGATCGTCGTCGTCCCCCGGAGGACCGGGCGGTCCACCCCCCGACTTTGGAATCTTGAGGAGCGGAATTCCCGGGCGACCAGGTTCCTTCGGGTATGTTAACGATGGACCTCCGACAGGGTAACCTCCCCCACCCCCTGGCGGCCCAGCACCATCCCCTGACCCATTACCACCAGGGTTGCCACTGCTTCCATTGATGTTTAATGATCCATACCCGCCGTTCCAAGCGCTGGCGGATTGGAAAACTGGAGCGTTAAGGGAAAATACACTCCTTGGCTGAGACCTTATCGACGGTGAGCCAAACAAGTCAGACTCATCGACTTGACGTCATCGGTGGCAAAAGAGTCTTTGGGATATGCTTCATTGGCCGGAATGAACTCACGAACTTCGGCAGCCCCTTCCGGAACGCCAGGCGTGTTCCCCCTCTGTCCCTTGAATTCTCAAAGTTCCTTCAGGAGTTGCGCCTGAACGCTATCTGTCTCGGCTAAACGCCTTTGCGTTTCAAAGGATGCCTGCTGTTGCTGTGCGAGGTTCATCTCAAGGTAGGAGACCTTCTGTCCCTGCATCATTTCGAGTCCAGCGATTTGCTGACGGTGATTCATTGACATTTCCACGAAATGTGGCTGCGCTTGTTCCTGCATGGTCTTGTATCCGGCCTCTGCTGCACTGCTGCATTGATGAATGCCCTAGCCTGGACTTTCATCTCTTCGTTCTCACAGAAAGCCTCATCAGCTTCATCTCGGAGCCTGCTTGCTGCGAGCATGAGTTCTGCTCGTGGCCCCTCGAGCTGTTGGTTCTGAGACGCTTGTCGCATCATTTCAGCGACCATTGCAGGTGGTGTGTGCACAAAGGAAAAATAGGCCTGATTGAATATCGGCATGGCGTTCCCGCCCGCTCCCCACTCAGTCGTTGACATAGTAGATCCGTTGTCTGGTGTAGACGAGACATTTGGATCCATCAACGGTAGATGGATTGCGGCGGGATTTCCATCCACGCTCTCACGCCCATCCGTAATTCCATACGGTGCTGCCAGCCTCGCGAGGGCATTGGGGTCAAGAGACATGTCCATGGCAGCAAATGACGCGGAGCAATACTACGGGCCCATTATGGCTATAATTACGGCTGATAACCTATGTTTATAGGATAACAGCCAAAACTGCACACCTTTTGTCTTGAGCCAAAGCGGTCGAGGTATGAGGTATGTATACACAAGTGTACAATGCTTACTTAGAACATACAAGAAATAGTAATACTTAAATGTTGGGTCTATCCTAATACAGTACCTGTAACAGTGGATGATGATGGTTAGTAAAAGCCTTGTTCAAAAATAGTGATTTGCTTGTTTACTGACTGTTACAGGTAAGAACGGACAGAACCAACTTAAATGATCTTAGAATGTGACACCCAAGACCATTGTTTGCAGTAGTATATAAGTAGTCCAAAAGGAACTGGAACCAGTTGAAAGGATGGAGTGCTTGTCCAGCACCTTCCAGCACCTTCCCGGCGGCCCAGTGCAAAAAGCCGAACGGCCGTCCACCACCGGCCGTTGTCAAGGACCCCGGGTGCTCGTGGCGTTCCGCAAAAAGGGGAAAAAAAACATCTGGACCATCCTGGACCCCAAGGATCGCCGAACAAAAATAGACATGTATATGATAGAAACCCATCAGGTGGTTGCTAAGATGTAGCAGGTGTCAGCTTGTTTCAACCAACCCCCATGGATGGCGCTGCGTTCGGTCCATTTTCAGCCAAGCTCGTCTCTGGAAACGACTCGACCGTCCAACTCGTGGGAGGTGGTGAAACCGTCCAACGAGTGAGTCCAAATGGATCCAAATCAACCAATCCTTCCGGTGGCGGTGGATCTTTCCTTTGCTTAAGGACCGAAAGAGGGGGGCAAAAGCGGAGAATTGGCACATGCCCGCAGTCGACGTGTCAAAATCGGCATGTCATGAGCGCTGGTTCATACGACGTGCCCGCAGTGGTCCGTTGCATGCCGGAGGCTCGTCGAAGAGGTGTCGTTTGACGGTCATGACTCTCATGAAACAATGTAGACTTTTGATCAATAAGCCCCCCCAGACATGGATTGAAAAACCTCTTCATATGGAGGGTGTATGAATCAAGAGTCTACACGATCCTCCCCCAGACAAGCACGGAAGTGGAACCTAGGTAAGACGATGCTGTCCTATACCAAGGCTTGCTGCTCAGCTGAGTATGCTTAGGACAACGCAAATGA